ATTTTGTGGCAAGGTTTTTTTTTCCATCACTTTTTCTCATATCTTTGTTGAGTCTTTTTGGTTTGATACTACAGATTAATATGCATATTTGTCAGTCAGATAGCATTAGTACTAGGTGATGATATGACTTTTGTTATTTGTGATCTCCTTTTTATTTTGTTGGCTACACATTAAAACATAGAATGGTTGATACTCACGGATAAATGTTTGCAAGATATTCGCTAATCTCTAGTGAATTTTCCAATAACTTTTGAGTTAATTTTGCTTAATCTTGAGCGGTTTTTATCCAGTTTTTGTTGGTTGGGCTTAATTGACGTTCATCTTTGTGTATAAGAAAGCACGCAAATGCGGTAGGCTTGATTTAGATCTTGTATCAGGTTTAATTTTTTTAATGCTTTCCATTTAGCAAATTTTGAATGTTATTTTCCACTGTACAGTGCAACAATCTGCTGTTGGATATGTTAAAAAATTACGCTTTCTTACCTATAATTTTCTTGTAAGATCCATCTTTTTTATATGCTTTTCTTTTGCAGGCCTCATTCTATATTTCCTCTTGGAATATCTCTCTTCTAGTTCGTGTATCTTCAGTTTCAACAGACTAGGTTACTGCGTAGCAGTTTTTTTAAAATGCTTTCCTATGTACAAATTTGTTTTATTGTATCTCATGCCTTGCTTTTAAAGCTTTTTGTTTACATCAGTGGCAGAAATAAGCAAAGGCTTAATTTGTTTAGCTGATAAATAAGGTGAGATCACCGAAAAGCAATTGAGGTTACGGGATAATAAAAAAACTTTTCAAGGACTCTGATTTCATTGTTTACCAGTTAGAATCTTTTTAGTTCAGCTTTTTTTTTTTGAGAAAGGAACGAAAGTGTGTGGGAAATGTGGAAAAAGTACATTGCGTTTGTACTTAAACGGTTGGATATTACAGGGCTGTTTGCTGAATAAAGTCATTAATTCCAGCCTTACCGTCTGTGGTAAAATATCTTAGGATTCCACTAATGTTTTCAACCAGCGATTTCTGTGACTGAGTATAGTTGAAAGTATTTGTAGAAATGATTCAGACTCAATTTTCTTGCTTACGCTGAAGTTATCTGCTTCATTTTAATGTTTCCAACTTAGAAATTTTCTTATGAAATTATTAGAACTAGGAATTAATGTTACGTTAGTACACTTGATTAAGTTCATCAGCATGATTCGGTTATGTAGTAAATCTTTCAACGTTCTGGTTAATTTTAGATGTCTATCAGTGAACTGCAAAACGAAATAGAGTCGTGGGACGAAAGTTTCGCTAGTGCTATTAATTATTTGGAATCAGTTATCGTTCATGCTGAAGTAGTGGATTCTTCGTTGAAGGAGTTGGTCGAGAATTATGGGAAAGTTGAGCAGGAGGTGAACGTTCGGGTGCGTACACTGAAAGATTTGATGCTCAAAGACTTGAATTACGAGGAACTTGAAAACTTTTTTGAAAAAAGGTGTGGTTTTATATTTCAAATATTATATTTTTCTTGTTATTTTCCTTTCTTTAAACGCCTCTTAACGGTGATTATTAAGCTTTTTTTGATTTGTAAGTAAGGGTATAATCAATTAAAAAAGTCTACTTTAACCTTAGGAAGAGTCATCTATTGAAGAAGTCTAGGAAGTCACTGTATTGTAACAAAGTGCATTATTTAATGGAGAAGATAAAGAACCGAAATGAGCATGAAAACAATTCAGAAAGTGATTTGCTGGTTGAATCAGTACGGTATTCCAGGAAAGACCACATTAGCAAAAAGAATATCGAAGAACCAGTTCGAAACATTGTATTTTTTTTTCGCTTCCTCTTTACTGCAGTTAAAAAAGTATATTGATTCTAATGTAGATGATTATTTTTATATTATTTTTTTTGTTTTGTGAAAATAATGTTTTTTTAATGCGTATTTGCTGAAAAGTTCAGTATTGGGAAAATACTGACGCGTTACAGTAGTTTAGCTAACTTAAAAATAAGGATAGGAATTGAAGATTAGTATATTTTGAAGAGATTTGTTCCTGTTATTAAAATCTTTTCTTTAAGATATGCAAACACGTCTATGACAAGAAAACAGTCACAGAATTCATTAATAATCATAAAAAGACGAGGAAGTTATGCCAGTGTCCTGTGCCGTCCTGCAAAAACAAGAAGAAATTGGACGTAAATGACATGGAACCCTACCCAGATTTTTTTAATTTTTTAATTGATTAGTTTTTTGTTTATCGAAAAGTTTCTTTTATATGTTTTGATATTATGAATGTTTTCTTTTGTGTAGTCGTTATGGCCTTCTTGATTTTGTGAACGGAGGAAGAGGTCTAGTCCTCTGCGGTCTGTGACGTTCTCAATATTATTGGTTTCATTTGTTACAAAGTGATCTCTGGATGAAAAAGATTTACAAGTTGAAACATTAGTGTTTCTTTAACGTACTTTTTGGTTGCTAATAATTAATGCTAATAATTTTTTTCGCACTTTTTCCTTTCAGTAGAAAACTTTATTGTTATTCGTGTGTGTTTTGTATTGCCCTTCTTTGCATGATTCTGTTTTTTTGACGCCTACATTATATGTGATTACTTTATGCCCACAATTCCTTTTTCTTGGCGAAACTGATCTCTCAAAAAAGTAATTTTTTGGACAGCATTTGAATTGAACATCACTACCGAATGTACGGTTGAACAGCTATATCTGATTTTTCAAATATTTAGTTTTTGAAAGCAAACGACTATTAGTTTTTTTGTGACATTTAGGCTACAGTTGTACGCTGCATAGATCGTTTTTGGATGTGATATGGTTTCTATGATGAGTCAGATGATCAGAAGTTAAGAGAAGGAGGTTGCAAATCATGGTTTAACTTTAGAGACTACAATCTTTAAAAAAAAATTTTTTTAAAATTTCTTCTCATCTTTTTTTTTGTTTATTATTTGTGTAATTATTATTTGCAATATTTCTTCTCGTAAGTTCCATCAACTAGAGCTGTGTAACTAAGAAGAGTAACTAAAAAAAAAAGCTGTTAATTTGACATGTTCGAAGATAGTCTCTAAACAGCAGTATCATCATTGATTGTATATGACCTGATCCAGCGAAGCACTGTCAAAAAAGATGTTTTTACAAGGAAAGGAACCGTTGTAGTTTCTTCATATCATAATTTGCACTGTAATTAGACTTTGGTCTACAGTTTTGCGAATTCAGGGTTGAAGTATATTTAACGAGAAGTCCTCTCAGGTTTGCTGTTGTCAATAATTTTCATTTGCTCTTGTAACACAATTTATTCACCAGGTGTTATCGGCTTGTAATCTGTTAGACTTTTTTGAGCAGAGTCCTTTGAAACATTGCCGCGTATATTGGTTGTTGTGGAATTATGTTTCAACAAGATCGTGGTGATCTTTTTATTTCATTTTTTTAAGAAGGCTAACTACCGGTAGAAGATAGTTTTTGATAAAATGAAATGGTAAATGCAACAGTTGATTAACCCATTCAAATGGTATAAAATACAGTTGTGAGTGAACTTTACCACTGTATTTTGATTTCCTTTAAAATTTAGCGTGAAATCTGAAAATTCCCATACGATCCCATTATCTTCATCTCGCACTGCTTTTGCTGAATAAATTAGTGGATTGCAACATCACTAAAAGACTAGAGGATTCGTCTTAGAGTTTGAGTTCAGGAAAAATCAAAGGCTTTGTAAAGTTATCGACTCCGTAACATTTTTATTGTTGTCAAACGATGGCTCAATTTCCCAGGACTTTCTCTCACATTCTCTTTAAATTGACAGTACTTAGAAGCGCAAATCATTTTTCTAATCTATAATTTTACTTAAATTTCATTACCTTAAAACCATTCTTCCCCCGTTAAAATTTACTATTTTGCCTTTCGAAAAACAATTTTAGACGTAACTACTTACAATAAATTTCGAGATTTATGGTGAGTAGTTACGTCTAAAATCGTCTTGGCTTTGTCTAAAAAAGATTTCACTGGTAGCTTTTCAGTATTGGTGAAATCTTTATTTATATTCCTTTATTTTTAGTAAAAGCTTATTGCGGAACTTTTTCCTTTTACTTTGAATCATGTTGCACTTTGGCTTCTCGAATATTGTTTGGCTGTAATCAACTTGCAGTAAGCGATAGAAACAGCAATTAAAGGTACAGTTTAGTGGCCCATAATGGTATTTTGCACATAATATGCATGCTTCAAAAAGCAGTTGCAAATGCAAAATAATAATTGCTCGGAAGATCAATGAACAAATGTTACGAAAAGAAAAAAAAAAAAAAGAAATGAATGGGTGCACATTATGATGGAAGAGTTACCAAAAGAAACAAATAAATTTAAATTGGTTTCAAAAAAAAGAGGTATGGACACCTGTAATTCATTAAGAATAATGCTTGTTGGGAAAGCGTTAAGGAATAATGATTGGCAGAAAAAAAAACAGAAATGAAGTGAAATAAGAACAAAGGTGACAAACTGATAAAAGAATGGGAGAATAGGAGGCATCAGTAAATCGTTATTTTTTATTTATTTATTTATTTTTTTCAACTAATTTTAAACTGCACAAGGGTTTGTTTCGACAAATGAATCGCATCGATGTGCTGCAAACATATCGTGTCGAAATCAATGGCGTAAGACGTCGCAGTTTTGATTATCGATCACCAGCTGACAACCGGCGGACTGCATTCATCGCCCTATATAAACAAACAACAAACCTATGCCGTTGCTGCCCCGTTGTTTATATAACACTTTGCATCACAACGTTGTTTCCTGTGACGAACAAAGTTGTATATAGAACATTTTTTTGGCACATTTCCATCAAAGTGAAAATTGTATTTCCGTTATATATATAGTAAGAATGTGTCTCTTCCACTACTGTGAAAGGTTCAAATGTGCTGTTAATCAACACCAAATTCTTGCTGCTGTTTCTCTAAACATATTGTGTTTTTTTCCTGCTTCTTTTTTTTTTTTTTGTTTTGGTTGCCTCTAAACTTGCTGCAAATAATGCTCTACCTAACCAGTGATCTGTTAAGGTGTTAAAAAAAATATTTTTTTTTCTTTTGTCTTTTTTTTTCATCCTGCATGTGTGTGTTTGTGATAGTGTAAACCATGTATTATATACGTCTTAGATGAGATTACGGTAACGGACTATAATTTTGAAGACACTTTTTCTGGAAACTTTTCAAATTTTCTACAGCATATTTTCTCACTTTTTTTTCTTTTAAGCAATTAGTCGTTACAGGCAAATATACATATATATATATATATTTTTTTTTTCGAAACTTAAGTAAAGATAGCTGCACGGAATGAATGAATGAATGTTAAAAAAGAAGCCGTAAAGTTATTTAGTTGGGAAATATAAATCTTTTGATTTCCATATTTTGTAAAAAAAAAAGAAAAAGAGTTACAGCAAAATTTCGGTAGATCATTTTTTCCAACCTGTTGACATAATTCTGACCGTAAAAGCACGGACATTAGAAAGTTTTCTTTTTAAGGCAGTTTTCAACGACCAACACCTATCGCGTGTTTTGTTAGAACCGGGCAGCTGCCTCCACCGGGCAGCCCCTCACATGGTCAGTAAATCAGAATGAAATGCGCCTATCGCATGTCGTGCGCTACCGATAAGTGTCGTCTTTTCTTTTTATTCATTTGCTCATACGACGCTGTGTGTGTAGAGTATCTTGCGAAAAATGATGAACTTGCACAAAATTTTGTTATACTGGTGATAAGGAATGCTTCTTGGTGTGTCTGCAATTTTTGTCTGTCTTTACGGTAGAAAATGGTCGAAAACGGTTCAGAGAAATCTATGGTTACAGCTAAAAAATATTTAACTAGAATTTTTCTATGCTTTTGTCATATTTTTTTTTGTCGTCATGTTTAAAAACTATACTAGTGCATTGGGGTAGGGCACAGCGCAGTTTATTGGATGCATCTGGAAAATATGCTTGAAATGATGAATCTCGGAAGTGAAAAAGTAGTATTATTTTGTTCAGGTAAGGCAAAAGTTGTCGACATCTGCTGAATATACCACATAAAGCAGTTGACAAGTAGATATTGCGAAGAGATGGTCTGAACATCGGCTTCAAGTAACTGAAGCATCGTTGTTTAAATGAACGAAAGAGCCGCTGTTAGCTTTCAGAATTTTTTTTATTTTTCTGGCATTTTACACTTGGTTTTACAAGACAAAATCCCATGCATAGTAGGTTATGGTGTAAATTTTTGATAATGAACCAAAACCAACAGATTCTATATATTCTATTGATAACGCTTAGAATTTTTCAATATTATAAATGTTACTTTAGATTCGTAAGAAGTGCCAGGGTGTTATCTGATTTGCAAGATATCCACAGAAGTTAAAATATCGCAAAGTGAAAAACTAAGTTATTTTCAGTGTAGAAAAGTGCTCAGCTAACTTTCGTAATTCAAAAAACATTATATATTTTATGTTGGTATAGTCATAACTCTAGGCCAAATTAAAATTTTTAAAGCAGGTCAGCTGTAGATGAGAGAACTTCTAACACCACAATTTTTGCGGTTGAGCACTGTCAATTGTACAAAATTTTGATACTCAGAACACTGCTAAGGTAAAATTTTTGTCAATTAGAGTCCTACTTAGACATTTCCAAAAAAAAAAAAA